AATGTTTTTCACACACTTACTGCCAAAAAATTTGTAGAAAAAAAAAAGTATGAATGAGCATTTTAGGAAAACAATATCTGTTATGGTCACAGAAAATAAATGCACTGGCAGACGGGATGAATCTGGTGCGTTGTGAGATTACAACAACTCTGAAAGAATATTCAGTCTGTGATGAAAATCTGGTCAAAATGTTCTGTCAAGTCACTGATTTCAGTGATAGCGTACGTTTTGCTGCATCACATTTAGATGAGATGCTCTGGTGATGTGTTAATGTTAATCTCTAAACGATTCAATACATACTTAGGCTTTATCATAATGTTTAATCTCAAGCTAAAATGTTGTTGAGCCTGAACAAACATCAGCACAAACAAATTAGAACACAAAGGGATGGTGTATAGGAAGTCATGTTAGAAATCAGTAGCCTCATCTGTAGCATTTCTGCAGTCGCGTCATTCGGATCACTGATTGCCCCGAGTAGTAAGAAAAAATTTTTTGTGTAAAGGAAATAAGAAAAACTGAAATGCTCGAACATATCCAAACATTTTTTATTGATAAAGAGGAAAACTTCATCTTTTTTTTTTTTACACCCTTAATGAGGTTTTTATTGTTAGCCTAATTATGGGCTTTCCAAGTGATTTAACTTGGCTGCGAACAAATGACGTAGTTCTTGTAATCTTACCATATTTTGTCTTGCGCCAAAAGAAAATGCGTCAAAAAAAAAAAAAAAAAAAAAGTAGTTAGGAAGAAAAACAGCTTTGTTTATGACATGCAATACAGACTAATTGCAAAACATCAGTCCCAGAGATGGTTTTATTCCAAACATGTGCCCCTTTTTCAGTTGTGGTTGGATGAGACACGCTGGGTTGCACAACAATAAAAAAAAAGACCTTCATTTGATTAGGTAAGACCCAGAGGATACTTAATGTGTTGTAAGTTTTCTGAATAAAGTGGACAGATTTTTTTTTTCTTAGCTTTCATCGGTGCTTCTGCAACCCACAGTGACAAAATCATTTGTCACTGTGGGTAACAGTTATTTGTTTCTCAGGAGAATTTCTATCTGTGCATTAAATCTTCATGTAGAAGTGATCACTTTGATCGTTTCCTGGTCAACATGGTTCTTTTATTTTATGGATATTTTCACTGAATTTTATATTTAGAGATCTCTTAATTCATGTGAGAACATGCTAAAACTAGCCCTTTATTTTTGTCAAGCTTCAGTGTTAAAGTAAAAAGGGGAGAGAGAGCAGAACAAATTAGAAACCCTGGATTTCTTCCTGTGTAATGCCATAAACATTACATATAATAATACTAATTTTTACCGTTACATTAAGTGAAAATGTATATTTACATCGGTGAGGGCTGAAAAATGTACAATATCTTAATTTTCATAGATACGTTGTTTCTATTTACAACTTTCACACATGTCGATCTATAATTATTTGTTGACTTTTATTAATTATGTAGAGTGCATTTATGAACAAATTATTAGTAGAAAAGCTATTTGAACATTTCAAACCAAATGCATAACTAAGCTTGATATTTAACCCCCACAGAAGTAGACACTGTTTGATTAATTGCAAAATCATACTTACAAACTCTGATATCAGACTATATCAAACTTAAGCACATAAAAAAATTGTGTGTTGTTTTTTTGTGGAGTTCTTGGATTGCCTAGGAAGATTTTTTTTTCTTTTCATTGCACTGTTAGGAGGGTAAAGCCACGCTTCTGCTTCTTAGAAAAAGCCCTTGAAGACAAACAGATGGGATTTGTTGTTTGGCTAAATGAATCCTGTGTACTGAGCGTAGATGTGTGGGCTCCACCTGCAAGTACTCAGCTGGATGTCAACACAAGACCAGCCTGCTGCTATAACTGTTTAGCAAAGGTTCCCATTTTAAGGACGTTTGCTAAAAAAAAAAAAAAACTGTTAGCCTTACTTTAGCCTCTAATCTTCATTTTTACAATGTATTGATTTTGAACTTCATGTTTAGATTTTAAATGACCATCAAGTGAATTATAACCTGCCTAATATCCAATAATAATAATAATGTTCCTTACAGTTATCACCAGAGTTAATGCCAACCAAAGAAAGGGACTGAGTTGAGCAGTTTGTTTTAAGACACTCTGGGTTTTTGTGTCTAAAGGAAATACCTGTAATGTACCAAAGTGATTGGATTTGATAGGATTTGTCAACAAATATTGCTGAGCACGAAGAAGCACAAAAATGGAAATCAGTTCCATGGTTATGTTATCTCTTCCTTTAGAAATGTTCAGATGTGCTGCAGACATTAAGAAAACGGCACTAGTCTGTTTTTAGACACATTTAAACCATGTCTACAAATGGTTTCAACTATTTTTTCTAATATTTTTCCACTCATTCGGGCTGCTTTTTGAGTGCCACAGGGTATAATGCTTGAACCAGTTTTTCCTCTTAGTTATATATATCCATCCATCAACCCTTTGTCTTGTGTCAATAAACGATTGTTGCATGTCAGTCAAACATCTTGCCACGTTTGAGTGGAATAAATTCAATAAAGGATCACTGCACCAAACACAGCTGGTGTTATTTTACAGAAAATAATAGGGATGATGTTTATTCATCTGTGACTAAAGTAAGCTTGGCTGCTGTACCCTGATCACATTTTAAAGTAAAACTTTTCCCATACTGTTAGCAGCTGAAGAATTGTTATTCACTACAAAATAATAGACTTCAGTAGTTAAAATATTGCTATTTTAATTACACTTACAAATGAATGGCAGAATATTTTAAAAGTATTATAATGTAACATCTGGTCATTCTCATTTTACTACAGCAGTATAAGTATAACAAACTCAACTAGAAATTGTTTTGGCAGACAGCTTGAGTTGATCCGACAGTCAGTTATAATCAGACAAAGTTTTATTTTTCTTCCTTGTAAACGACAAAGGCAGTATGGGAGGCTTCTGTCAGGCAGCTGACTGGCAGTGTGCAGCAATATGATAGGAAGGAGCAACTCTTCAAACAACTTTGAAACTTTATGAAAACTGTGTTACTCCCCCCCTCTCTTTTAGTTTGCCCCATCCCAACATCAACAGCTGCTGCTCTGTTTAGTGATTCACCCAGCTTGTTTTACAGTCTTTCCACTAACACATTTTAGAGCCAAACCCCTAGGAAAGCTTTCCATTTTTAGCATTGGAGGGTGCGTGCAGTCCTTTGAGGTACCGCAGTCCTTACCTGATCTTTTCATCAGGAGTTTTACCTGGCAGGACGCAAACTGAATGAGTCAGGTGAAAGTGAAGTTCGCTCTGATCTGCTGCTGAAGCTGAAAATGTTTTCCCATGGAAGTGGCAGCGGATAATGCTGAGGGGTGTGCTGGTATGAAAATATTATTGTGTTTTGTTAAACCCTGGAATATGGGTGACAGTGAAGCTTAGGAGTTTAGACATGTAATCCAGTTGCAGCTGAGATGTTGGCCATGAATCACACATTAACTAATCTAATCAGATTAAACCTGCCGTAAACGTATATCTTGGTTTATTATTTGGGTGGGTGTTTATTGGAGTTAAACCTGAGATTCTTTCAGTGTGGCCTGCACTGCATTTTGAGAGTTGAGTAGAAATTTCTTATTCCTTTTCCAGACAATTGTACTTTCATCATGTATGCTCTTGCATTTTAAATTTTTATAAAAGTTATGTTTTCTGACTAGAAACAAGAGCAATGATTTAGCATTGATTTACCTTGTTAGTAGCAGAAGAACAAACCTTTCTAGTTTTTTGTCAAAGCAAAACATCTCTACCTTCTTGAAATAATAGTGAACGAGAAGCAAGAGTTGTGAAACCTCGCCGCGGAGGCAAACAAACCCAGAGGCCTCGCTGAAGAAATTCCTTGAGCGATTTCTTGTCACAGCACTTTGCACGACATGAGTATCAGACTACAGATATATTGGATCTATTGACATTTTTTTCTCAGTGCAAAGCGTTTGTATCTCCACCAGCAAACTGCAGCATCTCACTTCAGGCACAATCGCATGTCAGCATCTGACATGCAAAGCACAACCCTCTCTCCTCAAGCCCAATCCTGCCATGTTTTACCTGTCCCTGTGTTTTGATAAGCAGACTTCATCCAAGGCATGTTATGTCAGCTCAGAGGAAAGGGGATTAAGTTCAGATACATGACATTTTGGGCCATTCCAACGAATTGAGTCAGTGCATAAACAACTCCTACATTATGTCAGGGAAATATTTATCTTTCTTCGTAGAAGCTTCTTGAGATAGAGTCAACACTGCTTAGAGACACAATTACATCTGAAGCTGAGCATCAAAGAGTCCTTTTGGAGATAAAAGTGTGGTTTATAAGTAAATCACAAAATACTTGTTGATATACAGGACTATCACTCTGATAAAACTGTCCCAGAAGTGCATATTTAAAGAAAGACTAAGCATGGCCATTACTCATATCTTTTATTCATATTTTGACTTGAGATTGCATTACGGTAACCTTTTGGTGACTATAAAGAAAAAGAATTCAGCTTCATAAAAATACAGCAGCCTTTATGCTTTTGTCACCACAAATAAATGTGAGTAAAAGCCTTAAAATAAGTCACAGTAGCATAAATTTAACTTTCCAGCATTCAATTTAATTAATTGATATTACCATTTTTGTTGGCTGTAGTATCAACAATATTTTCCTTTTTGGCACCTAATTCCACAGTACAGCCAAACCACTGTCTACAGCTGCGTGCACACAGACTTGGGAGAGGTTTAATGTTGGATGCCCGGCCTGACAACCCGGGAACGGAGGGAACTGGGTTCCCGGGAACCTCCAGACCTACAGCAAACCTGCTCTACCACCCAAACCACTCTTACATCTACTCTAAAATTAGCGCAACCAAGACATTTTTCAACTCTATTCTTTTCTATGTCATTTTGATTGTATCTTTTTTTAACTCACATGCAGAGTCACTCAGACATGTTAATAAATTTATTATACTTGTTGTAAAACACTGGTTTTTTTATCTTTCAGACGTGGATTGTACAATGAGCAACTTCTCTTGCAGCACCACTACAGAAAGGACAAAAGGAACAGGTGAGTACATGGAATAATGTACAAGTATGAAAGTCTTTGGTTAATGGGAGACAGAAAGGTTAGACTGATGAGAACAAGAAGGTCAGCTTTGGAGGAGGATGCTCATGGAGGTAGGTGTTCCAGGTTTGTTTGTCTAATCCTTTGAAAAACTTGGACGATTTCCGAGGAAGTAACTTCAGAGAAAGCAAAAGAAGAAACTCATTTTGGTTTCTACTGGAAGACAAGTATACACAAAGGTATACTAGTAGACTAGTGACATAGAGAGCAACAGAACTGCATCATTCCTTTCCTGATACAGAGATTACACAGGGATGTGAGAAAGGAGCCAGCAGAAGTCATGGACCCCAGATCTGCTGGCACCCTGCCTTAACAGATGCCTCTTGGTGGCGAAGAAGATCCAGATGGTGAAGAAGCCGTGCAGCTGGTGATCATGGAGTCATCTCTGCTTGATTTTGGGCAAACGGAAGGTCATACTCTTAGGTTTGGACAAAAAGCAAATAGACAGCAGTGGGACTGACATTGGATTTTATTAAGGCACCTTGAATATTGTGTAATAGTACTTGAAGAGGAAGTCTTTTGCGGAAAACCATGCCTTTTGGCCAAGTTAGTATTTTGGGTCTGGAGTTCTTTTATGCTTGTTAATATAGTTCAATGGTTCCTTGGAGGGGTGAAGTAGTTTAGTTCCACATCTTTCAGTCCATATGCTGGTGAACTACATGTATGTTGGCCTGGGATTTATGTGCATGTTCGATCAACGGTAAAAATTGAATAAGGATTAGAATTGGTTTCGAACCTAATTGTGACTTCCATTTCCTGACTGAGTTGTTAATTTTTACCATTATTTCGAGGATGGAAACCTGAGCTAAGCATAACTTTAACGTTTGGGAGGTACCATGAAGTCTACACACATTTTGGACGAAAAGGTTGGTTATCTTGCTGCCAGATGGGAGTTTTTTCTTGAGAATCAACCAACAAGACTTGGGGAAGCAATTCTAGATAGAATTATTTCTGAAGAACCCAGTAAAACATATCAAGAGATCTTTGGTTTTGGGACTTGGTAAACAGCAAGGGCAAATCTGAGTTTGAAGGGTGTTGCTGTCTGAGTTTCAAAAGCTTTTTCCATTATTCCTCTTCCACATGCAGGTGAGATGGTAAGTTTTGTGGAGGTGTTTGTTGGAGAATATAGTGGTGCAATGACCTGAATGCTGTGGAAATGAGAGGCAGTGATTTGGTTGAGACCGTGGTAATCAGTAGACTTAGGGAGCTATCTTTATTTATAGCAAACCGGATTTCAGGTCTTGAAAACTTGAGACCTAATTTCAAGTTTTGAGAAATGTAATAATTATCCATTCATGCCATGTTTCCCTAGGACATAAATACAACGTGTCACAGGTTAAAGGCTTTGCTCACATCTTTGCCAACATGAGTGGAGTTTCTGGTTAATTAAACTAAATAATTTTTTATTTAAATATTTAAAGATTATTATTTCTGGTCAAAAAATCGACAAATTCTTAGTTCTTATTTGACTTTGTACTTGTGATAGATTTATCATGAGTATTTTTTTTTTTGCAGAAAATACACAATTATTTCCTAAAGAACTCTTCGATTTTCCTTTTCTATCCTGGTGTCTGCATTGCCTGACTTTTTGCACATCGTAACAAGTTTTAATGTTGTCTTTTGTTTCTTTTCGTTCTTTTTTTACTAGTAACCACAACGCTATCTCCAGGCTCAGGCCATTCCAGAAAATGCACTGACAAAGAGAAGACCTACTGTGTGAATGGCGGCGACTGTTACTTCATCCCTGGTATAAATAAGACTTCCTGCAAGTGAGTTTTCTTCCAGTGATATTGGGATTCCCTGTTTTTATTGTCAGAGTTTGATCTTTACAAGATGTTTTGCTGTATAATAACATTCTAGCACCGTATTAAAAATTGTTTTCATCATTATGCTGCAGTTTTCTTTCAGCAGCAATAGTTACACATCAAGTGGGGGGAAAAAAAACTCAGTTCCTCTAATCTGCCACCTGTTGTGTATTTTAATGCTAATAATGAAGTGAGGCGGTGTGCTTACTCTTTTAAGTTTTGTTTAGTGTAGAGAAGAGCTGCACATTAAAAGCCCTTTTAAAATGTCATGAGTCACTGGTTTAGTAGTGAGCAAATATTTATGCCTGTTCGAGGCCTCCAATGAGATAAATACAATCATTGCTTACATTTGACAGAAGGGATCAAGGCCAGTGTGCAAGGATGTGTTTAACTCAGTATCATTGCTTTTTAAGTGGAAAACGGGTTGACGTTTTCTAAGAAACAACCATTTTTCTCTTCCTCTGACGTTTAGATTTGAGTTTGTCTGATGCTTACAGTCAAGAAACATTAGTAAGGATGGTGTGTAGGAGAACATAAACAAGGAGTTTTCTATTTGTTTTCGTCAGACATTTTTATTTTTGAGCAGCTGTTTAGTCGTTCAGGTGATCCTCAAATGTTTTCTCTGAACTTTAATACATTTCTAATTTCAGGTTCTGAGTTGGTTAACCTTGGCTGGATATCTTGTAATCTGTCACAGTACCTTTAAAAAAGCACTCCAAAACTATTTGCCAATTCTGTGATGAAGTTTTGCTGTCAAGACTGTGATTTTAATTTAGGTTTTTGTTTATCTATATTTGCGTAATGTGACTAGATGCAATCGCATGCTTCTTATTTTCAGATTTTGAAGTAAAAAGATATTCTATTAGATGCAATTTTACTTGCACTTCTCCGTTACTGAATATTGTACATTACAATATATTGGTTTACCACCTAAAATCTCCCTCTCCAAAAAAAAAAACACAAACGCTTGTGGTTGTAAAGTTACAAACTATGAAATGATTCTAGCCTTCATACTTGGAAAAATTGCTGATTTTTATTACTTCTAGTTTATGAACAACTCACAATCCATTGTGAGTTGCATGCAATATCTATTTAAAATCTGAGAAAATTTACACATCTTTGCTTCAGAAAGAACAATGCAAACTGTTCCAAATTTTTATGAAAAACAAAAACAGTCAGTGAATATGATATTGCTAGTTTGACTTTATAAAGTAGAAACTAATATCAGAAAACAAATTAATCTCCCTCCAAAGGTTGTCAGGCATTAAAATGCTGATTTTTTTGGGAGAACAAACTGTCACATAAGTCTGTCAGTCGGTTTGATGTAAAGTCGAAATATTAGCAAGGTTCTGCTGCCAAGTCGACCAGAGAAAGAGCGTCTAAACAACCAGCGAGGACACGGCTGCAACAGAATTTTGATACACCGTGTACAAATCAGAGGCTGCAATAACTCAGCCGCTGCAGCTAATTCACTCACGGCGGGGTCATAGGTCCAGAAACGATGGATAATGCAGGGAAGGCCTGCAGCAATTTGTTGTCCCACTGCCATTTCACTGGATACCGACCTGGTTTCCCTTTGTTTATAACTGAGAGGCCAAACCATCATGCAGACAACAAGTCTGTTTTTTTACACCCATCTGCTTTTCATGCATGTACAAGTTTTGAAAAAGTGAGGTTAATTAATAAACTAAATATATTTATGTATAATCACATGTATATATAAACAGAAAAATAAATAAGATTACAAAGAATGTAAAACAAACAGAATCAACAAGAATATTTTTAACTGTTAAACATGATATTTTTTTTATATGCAGTAGAAACAAAGATGGTCAGATTTTGCCAAGAGGACTTGATCATACAATCACTGGCAAAAACTTTTTTTTACATGTTGTGACAGGTTAACAGAAATTACTGCATAATTACAAAGTGGAAGGAAATGGATAAATAGTTTTCAGAGAGTTTTAAAATAAAATCTTTGAAAAGTGCAGCTATCACACTCTGACAGCCCTAAATAGACCAATCAGTTACTTTCAAAAATTACATGTTAAGTAAACATATATCCAAATATGTTAAGTTTAATTTTAGTATAAATCCAGCTGTGCATTAGTGAACAGACAGCATAATGAAGCTCAGCACAGCAGACAGATCCATTATCAAGTTGTGAAACATTTAGGTGGCAGCCTCATGCCACATTTATGCTTAAGGGATATGGCTGTATTTGTAATCTATAAATGTGACTCAAAAGGCTTTACTCTCAGGTTCAGCTCTCTACAGTGAGCTGGACACAAATTAACACATTTGTGCAGTCACCCTTGTCTTGCTTTTTCTTCCAAAATAAGTTTCAGATCTATTAGAACAAAAAAATAAAAAATAATAAATAAGTGTACATATTTCTACCTCACTCTGGGACTGAAATATCTGCAAACAGCAGATCCTCCCAGACAAGTCCAAACCCATGCTAATTTGCTTATTTTGTTCTGCATGTAACAAGTTTGGTTTTGGTCCCATCCCAGAACTCTGTTTTCTCTTCTAATTTTTTCTCAATTACTCATCAGGGTGTTTCTTTTTAACTTTCAGCAAAGTTTTCTTGGATTGGCCAGTCTTGTATTACTTGTCGGTAAAATGTTGGTGGCCCTTTGAAAGGCCCACTGCCTAATCCTAATGGGATTATAATGAGGAAGTATGGTCAACACCCTTGATCCTGGAGATAGTCTGTTTTCAGTTACAAAAACATTAAGCTACATGCTATCATCATAAATCATGTAAAATAAACAGTCCAATATTAGGAAGCATCTATGTTTTCACAAATTCCAGTGAAAAATTTAGAGTTTACTTTTGTCTGATTTGTTGTTATAATAATAAAACTCTCACATTTGCAGGTTGTGAGTACAGCTACTGGGATTCCAAGAGGCTTTACAAAGGAAAACCTCATTAATCTATTTTCAGCTTTGTTGCACAGGTTTCCTTCAGTAGATTTATGGATGAAGACTTGCATGGGGCAAACTGGGGACTATCAAAAACCAGCTTTTATTTCATAATTGCCATTTGTTGATTATTTTGTAATGCATTATTTATATGCAGAGGCTCTAATGGACCCTTTTATAGGTGTCGAGTTTTTGTGATGAAAAAAGTCAGACCATGATAATGTTACTATCAGGAAAAAAAGTTTAATTTGGAATTTTGGTTTCCTTGTAAGAAAAAAAGCCTCTATCCATCACCACTGACTGGGTTTCATCAATGTATACATTTTCTATAAGTGTATTTTTTATGTTTAGAAGGAATATGCTTTTTTCCATGGCCTGAAAATGAACATCTTTGAACATGCAACTTTCAAAAAAATCCAGCTGCATTTGTAAAACGTATGAAAACTCCACTACCATGTTTTACTATTTGTATCTCAGTTTAACTCTTTCTTTAAATTATTTTTATGCCAAAAACGTGTTTTGATTTAGCAACTCAGTTCTTTAGTTCAGCTTAGTTACAGCCGACCACGAGTTTATGGGAAATTTTAGCCAAGACTGCAAATTATTTTGCAATCTCATGCTTTCAAACAACAAGTGTGAAAATTAGGAGACTTTTGTTACACGTAGAACACAACTAACACATGGCAGAAAATCCTGCAGCTGCTTATTTATTCATTTTTTCTTCTAATAGTTTCTACTGTCATTGTCACATCAAAAATGTGAAAAAATTCTTGAATGATATATATTTTTTAAAATAATGTCACCTTTTAGGTCTCAAAAGCCTGGCTTTAAAACTGGATATAATATTGAGAGCCCCTCTCTTTTCTGTACATGACATGTTATCCTGCACGAATGAATGCCTTGAAATTTAAAAATGCACCCCACTCCCTGTGTTTTCTTTTTTTCATAACACATGTCTGCTCTTTCCCAGTTGTCCACCCAGATACACTGGTCCTCGATGCTCACAGACCTTGGCCCAGCGGTCGTACATGCCCTATCCTAATAAACGTATGTCCACCTGATATGAGCAGCTGAGAACAGAGATGCAGTTGTCCCTGGATTCTTCCAGTGGACTTCTGTCACCCCGACCGTCTTGCTCTTTCTCCTTCTCTTCTTCCCTCTTAGGTCAACTTCGCAATGGGCTGTGCACAGCACCATGCACACAGTGGTTTCGTCCATGGGGAACACTCTGCTTTTGCTGTCTGTAGTTTTGCTGTTGTTCTAATTCTGTGTCTCTCTCCCTCTCTCCCACCCCTCCCCCCGAATTCTACCCTTTTTTTTCTTACACATGTTCTTCCTTTTCACTCCACTGTCCCTCTATTTTCCTCCTTTTTTTCCTCACTGATCTCCTCCCTCTGTTCCTTTGGCTTTCTTCCCATCAGGTGTCCAAATGACTTTACTGGTGATCGCTGTCAAACCTACGTTATGGCCAGTTTCTACCGTATGTCAACTTGTCTCTTCTGTCTCTGTGTCAGACTGTCCTCGTGTGATGCATGTACTCTGGGTGTAGAGAGACTGCACTCATTTCCTGTTCTTACCTAATAATTATATCTGTGTCTCCTTTGATGACTCATTCATAAGCTGGCACAGATTAGTAGAGCGTGTTTCTGTGTTTGGTCAGCATGTGATTCTGTGTGTGTGTGTGTGTTGTGTGTGTGTGTGGTGTGTGTGTGTGTGTGTGTGTGTGTGTGTGTGTGTGTGTGTGTGTGTGTGTGTGTGTGTGTGTGGGGGTGTGTGTGTGTGTGTGTGTGTATGCTTCCCCTGTAGCTCAAAGAGCTTTGCACGTGCTCTCCCATGGTAGATTTGCCTGCAACCTGTTGTGAAGTGAAGTGATTTTGTTTTAGATGCTGCCTGAAACATAATTGTTTGTACATAATGAGCTGCATGTATCAACACCGGCAGGATAAATGCTAAAACACACCTCCTTATGCAACCAGTTGCAGACATGCAAGCTTGTGCAATATTACCTGAGACAGTCCATTAATGCAGAACTAGATCTGCATTAATGGACAAAACTTATCAATGAAAAGGCAAGTTTATGTTCAGTGTGTTCCAGCCAAATGAAAGAGGAAACACTACCTCTCTACTGCATAATGTCTCTCAAAGAATTCCATTCGATTTACAATCGTAATTAGCTGCATTGTCAGATGCAACATGAACCAACGTGACAGAACGCTTCCCAAGACTTGTTTAATTCTTGACTAATGTTAGCTGCATGCATCTGAAAGCCAAGCATCACATCCCTTCAAGCTGTGACAAGAAGCCCTTGCTCGTTTCACTTTCAGACCAGTTGATCGCATGCTGAGTTCCTCAATTACAGCCATTCTGAGAAAATAAAAGGTTCAGGCTCCATCATTAAAAAATACAGCTAGTTGTTTTTTGGGGGGGAGGTTTAGGGGTTTGTATCTGCTAACATGCAGCACTTCAGAAAAAAAGCAACAAAATGGTGCTCATAATTGGAAGAGCCCCATTGCACAAAGTGCCTTGCAAAATATTTAACTCTTCTCATTTTGTCATGTCGCATCTGCAAACATAAATGTAATTTTTGGAATTTTATGTGCTAAATCAACAGGAAAAAGTGTGAAGTGGAGGGGAAAATGACACATTTTCACATAACAAAAACTATAAGGTGTTGCAACTCTGGAAATGATGCATTTTAATATCTAAAATTTAATATTTAATATTTAATGGCGACATTGGCTAAGACAGCCATCAACTGAAAGATTATCCCAAAATTAGTGGAAGAGCTGCTGAGAACTCCCCTGGACGGATCCTGCCTCCAGGCATTTTCCTATAAAAGCAGTCTGGAGACAAGCTTCTCCTTCAGTCTGTCTGCATTTAAAGCCACTGAAGTGCTTTCAGTATCACAAAAGTATTCAACAATGTTAAGAAGTGATGCTGCATTACTGTTACAAAAACATACAGCTACAGAAAAATTCTTACATTTACTACAATGATAAAAACAAGATTCCTTTCTGTTAAAAAAAAAAACAACTCCTGCTTTGCATGTTCATGCAAACACATACACGATCATGTGTTTGCAAGATCATACAGTTTCAATTTGAAGTACATAGCAGTGAGTGCATCTGATCTTGTTAATCTGTCTGCTGATTACAGAGACTCAACTCGCATTTGCTGTTTGTTGTATGTTGGCAGAGAATGAACTGCAACCAGCCCATCTCTCCCCCATTGTCTTTCTTCTCAGTCCTAACTACAAGTAATTTAACCTCACACTAAGCAGCAATGCACTATGGTGAAATTACTTGTCTTTTGGCAAAGTATTGTGTTTTTTCCGACACTCACTCACTTTGGTGCAGCTCTTCGTTTGCGTGAAGATTGGCGTCTATTTCCTCTTGTTGTGTGGTCGTTTGGAGACGGGCCAGCCTTTCTTTGCTTTATTCCTTATACGCTGACAACATCTTGTCAGCGTAAAGAGAGACCAAAAGATAAAAGACGAGTTGCTATGAGTCTTAATAAAGTGACTTTATTCACATTTATTGAACACTTCCATGTTTGGTCGCATTGTAGCCACAAACTTTGCATGTGATTGTGGAAAAAAAAAGTGCAAATTTCAATTTTAAGCAAAGATGGGAAGGGTATTTTTCAAACTTGTATCTCTAAAAGATTCTGATAACCATGCATCATGCTCCTTCCACTTCAAATTGAGGTTTTTTCATATAAGAGCCCAATAAAACATACTACATTAAAGACTGTGATTGTGATGTGAGAAGATGTAACAAAGGTCTCTGGATATGACATTTTTGCAAGGCACATTAAAAACATCTTAATTGTACATGAAATTAAGGTATTAATTGAAAGAGCATGCAGAAAAAAACTCCCGTTTTGTACCTACTGAGGCTTCTCCCAGATGAAGGGTGCATCTCTCCTCGTGAGATACAGCAGAGAAGGAGGATGGTTTCTTCCTCTCAGCAGTGAGGGCTTGAATTAATAAGGCATGTTGTCATAAGGACAGCTGGGACTCGCTTAAGCCCAAGTAAACCAACAGAGTTGCCAGAGTTATGGACTCGGCTAGTTGGTGCAACATCCCTATGGCCTCGCTCTGCCAGAAAGCTTAGGCCCAGCAATAATTCAACGATATTATTCCAATATTGAGTACAGCTGTATTGAAGCAACCCCTGTTCTAACAGCAGCCCTTTAACTTGCCTGTTCATGTGATGGGTGTGTCAGGGAACTGACAGTGTAGCAGTTCTGCACGGCAGAGCAGTGAAAAGCACGGCTAATCTGTGCATATGAGACATATTTTCCCCAAACAGCAGCAATGAGGGTTACTATGCAACCAAAATTCAATCCCCATTCACAGTTTGTTTATGTAACAACTTGAAACATCTCTGCAGAAAGGAATTTTAAAAAATATAAAGCTCTGCTGCTTTCACTGGCTGTACAATAAACAGTGCCTCGGAGAGTATTCATGCAAAGTGAGACGTTTAAGACTAAAACAAAAAAATGTTATGTGGTTCATTCTGTTAGGAGTTAATGAGTCAATACAAGGCGGTGGTACCATCATCCTGAGGGATGCTATTCTCAAAACGACATTTTTTTCCCCTCCAATTTCACAATTATTCTCAACGTTGAGTTGATTTGTCCCTTAAAGCACAATCAAACACATTAAGGATTGCAGTTGTGACAAAGTTAAAGACTTTATATGTTGGGTTGAGACATGCAGCTACTGGAACTCATTTCACCTCTAAACTGAGAGCCCCAATCGTGAATGTGAAATTAGCATTGTTCATTTGTTTTGTGTGGAGTTGTATAGTTTAGTTTAAAGTGTGTGCTGCATGCTTTTGTCTTGTCTTGAACAATTTCTGACATGGTTGTTGTTTCAGTTGGCTGTGTTGTCAAGTTACTTATCCACCACTATGTATATGTACGCTCCAAGGTGCCACTACCTTAATCTGCTCTCTTGTTTCTTGTTTTTGTTCTTGTTTCTCCTTCCATCTGTCAACCCTCTGCAATGGCAGAGCATCTTGGGATTGAATTTATGGGTATGAAACAATCCATTTTGACTCTCAGTCCTCGCCTAGCTCCCACAATGTCCGTCAATGTGACATGCTTGTTGATTTGTAAAACACATCGTCCCCCGCCCCCTTTTTTATTAACCAATCAACCTCTGGAGTGATCATAACTCATACGAATGACAAGCTGGCATCATTAACATGGATTCAGTATGTCCCTCCGTACATGTGATCAGAAGTTTCCACCTTATACTGACGATAGTTTTCCCTTTTAGAAGCTTGGATTTTAATTTCATTCATAACAAGCATGATGTCTCATGTTTGTCCCTACCAGATGATTTGACTCCATTTTCAGTCCAAGTAATTTTTCCTTCATCTCTATCGTTTTTTTTCCGACATGCCTTGTCTCACTTTTGATTTACATGTGATCTCCTCTATTTGTATTGCAATCCTCTGTTGTTAGCAGTGCAGAAATGCAATGTTGAAGTCTGAATCATGATATGTGTGTTCCTGGCTCAAATTCTCCCTTTTCTAATGCATGATATTTTAATGTTTGACAGCCTTCCCTTTCCTTTCTATCAGCTTCTGTCTCTTTTTCATTGTTGGCTTTTGTCTTCTGATACCTTTTTTTTTCTTCCTTTTACCAGAAAAGAGCTTCAGAGTGTGAGATTTTAGAATAATGACTAGAGGCATCCTTTCAGACATCGTGCAATTATACAAGTGTGTTCACGCACTGGAACAGAGGAACACTGTGTTATTGCAGAAACACCAGTATCATTTCCTCTGTGTAAAGTCATTATCAGCAGATGACATGCACCGTGAAATATTTCCCACTTTACTCCTATAGATAAACTAACTTTATTTATGGTGCCATAAACTTCTCACAAATTGGCATGATGACGAACATGGCTGCCAGTGAATGAAAGACGGAGCCTCCTATTTTAGGGGATATGAGAAATCTGTCACATTACTTATCAAAACCCTGTCAGCACAGCTTTTTGTGCCTCAGCCACGCCGCACTGGAGCTCTTTTTTTGTTCAAACACAAATCACTCTTCAAAAAAATCACATTTAACTTTAAAATGAACTGGTTTCTATAATGTAACAATATGTTTTGTTCCTTGCTAAATTCTTAAGTAGATGTATAGTTCTTTAAAGTTTAGGACTGCTGCATATATGTTAGACATTTTAGATTTTATTGCTGCTTAGAGTATATTGTGTTTGTGTTGCTAGGAGGATGAAGATTTATTTGACAGAATTTAGATCTGGAAAGTACTTTGGGAAGCATCACCTCCTTTGTGAAGCTAATAATTTCCTGTCTTTTCTCTCTGTTGTCTCATGGGTTCAATTTTGACAGAGGCAGAAGAACTCTACCAGAAAAGAGTCCTGACAATCACGGGTATTTGTGTGGCTCTGTTGGTGGTGGGCATCCTGTGTGTGGTTGCCTACTGTAAAACCAAGTAAGTTCTGCAGATGACATGTTTATGTGACTATGCGTGTTCATTTGGACATATATCATCACTTTTTTTTCTTCAGTAATGCTCTTGCTTACAGCTGAAAATAATTGTAGATTAATAGTTATATCTATTTTGTGTAAAGAAATTGAGAAAGATGTTTTCTATGCTGATGAGAATGCAATGGAAAGTAAAGACTTCATGTTTGGCATGCCAATAATTGTATTTATTTATGTATTTTGCCAAAATGTATTTTTAAAATAACCAGTCTGATTTGAAAAACAATGAGTAGGTCACTACAAATATATACTTTTGAATTTATTTAATACAAATAAGCTTTAAAATATAATATGATTCCTCTAATATGCAGTTTTATGCATAATTAATTCTAGTTCTGTTGTTGAATTGCAAGCTTAACATTAAAAAAATTAATCAAACATTGTTCAACAGGAAACAAAGAAAGAAGATGCACAATCATATGCGACAGAACATGTGTCCTGAACATCCCAATCGAAACCTTGCTAACGGACCTAATCACCCAGGACCCGGCCCGGAGGAAATCCCTATGGTGGATGTACGTTTAAACACATAAACGTATCGACTCAGAGTTTTCTCTCTTTTACATTTCTTAATCTTTCTATTTTTACAGTACATATCAAAGAATGTCCCTGCAACTGAGCGAGTCATACAGCCCGCGACAGAGCGATCATTCCCAGCCAGTCACGCCTCTTCCAGATCTCACAACTCTTCCACACGAGCCCACTCATCTACTCAAAGGTAAGCAGTCATTATGTGTCACGCTGTGTGTGTCATGTTATGCTTTCTTGTACTGATGTGATGTACTGCGACAAAAATTCATCCTTGGGTTAGATTGTGTGACTAATTTTTGGTGGTCCACTCATTCTTGCTGTATTTCTGTCTCGGTTAGGTTTTATTTAAAAATTGCTTCGATGATTTGTTCATTTTTATTGGGCTGTCTTTGTTGCTCAAAAGCCTTTTCTCTTGTCCCAGAGTCACTGTCTGGAGATTTTTGTTGCCTGTAATCATCACTAGGTGTCCTCAGTTTCCCTCGGGTTTTCTCAACCTGTTTCCTTCAAATCATCTTTCCACCCGTTGGCTGTTTCTGTCCAACTCTTCTCTCTACTCTCCCAGCACCTCAACTCAGAGGGTGTCTGAATCTGAAAAACAGAGGATGCTTTTCAGATTTCCATTTTTCAGAATGTTCCTTTGATGTTAGTGTTTTTGTGGTTTTCCGTCTGTTTGGTTAGTTGTCCCGCTTTGTTGAGATTTTGGCTAGTTTTAGTCAAATAAAGGTTTTCAGTTGTTTATCTGTCTATGTTTTCACTGCAGACAGACAATGGAACAATATGCCATTCATGAAATAATTAATATGATAAAGTATTTGCTAACATACAAAATGCATGAAGTATTGCAATGATTATCTTATTTATTGTAGAAAAAAATGCCATCCAAACCAACTTGAACAAGGGTGGAAAAAATAAGCTCTTGGATTTTGCCGAACATTAATCCAAAATACATCAACACACTAGCAACTCAATTACTGACAGGGTAGGGAGAAAACAAGTTAAATGATGGTTTGGTTCTAGCCTAGTCAACACACTGAGTCAAACAAGCTGTAAACAGGCAATTCTTGTTTGAAAATCTTCATTTTTTATCGAAGCAAGCTATTGTTTAGATGAGTGGGCCAAAATTCACCCTCAGCAATGTAAGACTGATTTCTATTTATGGTGACTTTTTCGCCCCAAATACATAAAATCACCATTTAAGAAAGACTTTTGTGTATATCCTGGTTATCGATGTCTTAAATTTATATGATGATCAACAAAAACCTAAAAATTGTGATTAATTTATTGTGATTTAGGATAATTTAAAACAAAATCATTTACTTTGTTGGTGAATTCAATTGACTGGAAATATTTTTTTAGACAATAAAATAAAATTGTGAGTCAAGCTTTTAATACAAGTTTTTTCAACTTTGAGAAAATACTATTGATTGATTTTGCAGTGTTGAAATAAACCCATCTTGTTTAGTGTGCAGGAATGTCACCACCGTTAGTTTCTACTAGTCAGATCAACTATAAGGGAGGAGATTATGAAATAGAATCTGTGGTTTTAACACACATGAATTATAACAAAACACTTTCGCCTGTGGAAACAGTGAAACGGTTCCTTTTGTTCTCCAAAGGCATTCTTCAGGGTCTACAAAGAAAGAGAAATATATCTTGGGGACACTTCAGGGTGTGTGTATGTTAACACCTATTTTATTTGACAGACATGAGGAACGGACATGGAGCCTGGAACGTTCTGAAAGTTTCCTCTCTGACTCGCCGGGAATGATGTCATCGTCCGTGGGGACCAGTAAATGCAGCAGTCCTGCGTGCATGGAAGCGCGGGCGCGGCGAGCTGCTCACTGTGGTTACTCTGATCCCCATCGGCCGGGCCTGCAGTACGGGGACTCGTTCGATTCGCTGGGAGACTCTCCACACAGCGACAGGTGGGAAGCGAGGCCTGCCCGGCCGATTTGGCTCTCAGTCTGTAATAAACACGCTGAAAAGTTTCCCCTCTCTGCTGGCTCCGTGTCCACCTCGAAGAGGCCAGCGAGGGCAATCAGTGGAAACTGACACACAGCAGGCATGATGTTCAAATATGCAAAGGGAGGCAAAAGTTAGAAAAAGTGCTTATGTCAGTGGGAACTCTGCTCTTGCAGCTATAGGACTATTATTCCTTTTCTAATATGTTGTTGTAGAGGCTGTTTTTCACTTGCTGCTTTCGATTTTTCTTTTGTTTTTTCTTATTTTTTAGTAAGCCACGTGTCACTCACAAAAGATGATAATTCTGCCATAAAAATACTTGAAGCTCAAGTTAGCACAAAAGGAAATCCTGACAAGGGAGGAAATGAGGCTTTCATCAACTCTGCTCTAGTCTATATTTATCCAGTGCATTTTTCTTTATATTGTAGGCAGCAAGATAGCAATCTTCTTATGCAGCTCTGGGCATGACATACAGTAACCCTTCCAGCCTTATCTTCTAAAACATCAGGCTAGTCGCCTAGCATGAACGTTCTGCACAGCTGCTCAGTCACAATGGACTTTTTTAAAGTATTATGCTCATGTCTGCCGTACACATTTTATTCGAAAAATCTGTTTTTTATGTACAGTTACTCACTTTTTATGGCTTTGCTGCAAGTTGAATTGAAATTTGCCAGCGATATCAATGGCAAAAGAGCTGAGCCACAAAGGCCCTCTTTGCTATGTTGTAATGTTTGAAATCCTACTGAAAAAAATTTCCATTATTGTTTCCACATCAAAATTTACTGCTGTTTGGCTGTACATTTTCATCCAACTATCTGACTTTATGAAAAATTGGTTAACAGTAACATCAATGTATCGATTTCAGCTCTTTCCATATCTTAGGACCTGCCACTAAAACCTGATGCATGCACTTTTAAGGTATATCAAAGTTTTAAAAACTTACAACTTTCAAACAATATGTTTATTTTTTTTTTGTCTTTATATTACCAGGTAAAATGCTTGAGAACCAGTTTTAATCAGAAAGCTTGACTTGGCCAAGAGCCTGTTAAAAGGAAAAGTGCAAAACACAAAAATAAATGGAAACAATATGGAACAGACATGTAAATCATTAAAATGGAATCAGGGCTAAGAAGTAAAATAAATTATCTAGGACTGACGTAAAGAAGGAGGATAATGTGTATATGTTACTGTGACTTAAACTCTGTTTAATGGGATCCCAGAGAAAGTGCCAAAATGAGAAGAAGTTTTGTTTTTGTTTTATTTGTATGGAGCATAGAATAATACAAGTCCTTCTCTAAGGACTATCGGCTGGCTACATTACACCAGACTAATTACACTTTAAATCTTTTTATCAAGTTAAAGAAAAAAATTGTGACTGATCGCAAAATTGATCCACTTTTAGAATATGTATATTTTTTTTATTCCTGCCTTTTGCCATTTGAATGCAGAGAAGACGCAAATGTTGTCACAATCTGCTAACAAGGAAGGTGATAAATGTTGGAAATTCTGTTTTCGTAGACATGCATTTTCATTTATATCCAATGCAGATCAATTTAATATATGTGAATTATTGGATCAAACTGTTAGCAAAACAACAGCGGTCCAGAAAACCAAACTCATTGGGGAGCTGTACTGAGCCGAAGCAGGATCGTTTCCAATGAAGACTATTTCATCATCAGCAAAAGTCGAGCCAGCTTGAGTAGTAAAACGAAAATAAGTCAGCCAACAATAGCATGTTTTGTCTTGAATCAGTTGTAAAACATAATTTAACAGATATTTTATGAAAGACATTCTGCAGAAGGAAGTAGATTAATGCACACCATGTATCCTAACTTGTTGATGAACATAGAAACTCTGTGGAAAAGTACCTCCCACTCACTATTCTAGTTTCTGCTCAACCTGACAATAAGGGTGTGATTTGTGTTCTTCTCCTTCTTTGCTCTGTTCTTTGTCCTGATCCAATCACCTGTAAATTTCTATCTGTTCTTCAAACAGGTACGTGTCAGCCCTGACAACACCAGCCCGCCTGTCCCCGGTGGATTTCCATTACTCGTTGCCCCCCCAGGTGCCTACCTTCCAGATAACATCCCCCAATGCCAGCCACGCCATGTCGCTTCCTCCTGCTGTCCACAACCCCTATCCTCCAGAGGATGACCAGCCGCTGCTGCGCCGCTACCAGGTGCCCCTACATGATGCCCAGTGCCAGGAGCCCTACCGGCAGCAGCGCCGCACCTACCTAAAGAACAGCAGGGGCAGCCTGCCCTCCAGCCCCTACCGGCTGGCCGAGGAAGAAGACTATGAGACCACCCAGGAGTACCTCTCCTCTCGGGAGCAACCAAAGACAAGTGGATCCAGTGAAACTGGTAGCCGGCGCTGGAGGAGATCCAGACTGAACGGCCACGTGGCCCCGCGTGGATACGAGGCATCTCGGGACTATGGATCTCGAAGCTGCCTAACAGAAAGCGAGTCAGAGGAGGATGGTGAGAGCACTCCCTTTCTCAGTATGCAGAACATGAACGCCGAGCCCTCCACCATCTACAGGCCGGTGGACAGTCGGACTTCTCACTCGTCAGGGTGGCACAGCGGGCGTGGCAACATGCATACGAGACTCACACAGTCACGCTCCAAACCGGACAGTACGCCCCATTAAAGAGTGACGATGAACCAACAAAAATCAATATAGTATAGACCTGCATCTATAAGAAATATTTTTATTTTATATAACTGACAGATATTCTAAACAAATGAAATATTTATTTTCATTTTAGCAAAAGTTGTCTACTAGTTAACAGCAAAGAATTTTTTATAGGGAAAACTCTATTTATATGTACATTTTGATTTACAGCATAAAAAAGATGTGCCAGTTTTTTCACAACGTAAAAAAAAAAAAATAGAGTAATATTGTGGTGCCTTTTGCTGTTTGCCGATGCCAGAGGGCCAGTGGAGGTTTTTGTAGCCTTTCTTATATGGACGCCTCATTTTTATACACATTTATGTTCTTTTGTTCTGTCTGAGTTTATTTTATTTTTTTTCTGTCTCACTTTCTTTCCAAAAAAAGGCATTCTTTGAGAAGTCTGTCCCCACTGGAGCATAACCCCTTCCATGTCACGCAATATAAACCACTTCAACATAAAGTGTGTGTTTACATTAATATGATTCGTCCTGTAGGGTTTGGTGGGTCGGGGATATAACAGAACGCCTGACAAATACAATGTAGAGCATTTCTGACGTATGTGCCCTGAAAGACGAAGAAAGAAGATAGTGATGTTTGGGTTGAGTGCAGGTACAAATGAATCTGTGTGAGCGTAATGTTGCTTGCATGCGTTCGTGAATGTTAGGAGAATATCACGTTGTGAGTTTAAATGTGTGAATCTCAAGAGAGCTGCCACATTCCCCTCTTCCCCTTTCCCTCCACTTGTGAAGGTGGACAGGTAAGGCCAGGTTGTATTATGCAGGTCATTGCTTAATGATGTGTTTACAACTATCTGGCCCCAAGTCTTCCCCTATTCTGTCCTTTTTAAAACATCCTTGTACGAGGCCAACAAACGCTTAGCTGATGGGCACAGAGGGGGCATACCGACGTAGGAGACCAAAACAAAAGATAGCATCTGTTTTCACTCAAACGACTTCTACTCCCACATCTCATTATCATTCTGTTTCCATTCTGTTTCTGTGGCTTGTTTTTAAGGCCACACAGTGTCTCAGGATTTCCACATACCCCGCTACACCCCACACACCCACTTTCATCCCTCCTCACCCCTTGACTAAGGCCTACCTAAGATGACGGTTCTCGGAAGTTGAGGACCTGGAGGTAAACACGCAGTCTACCAGTCCAACGCAAAGAAAAGGTGGAAGAGTAAAACAATGTAGGGAAATAGCTGTGAAAACTACGGAGGATCATACAATGCAAAAATATGCAAACTTTACATTTTGCTGTTTGACTACATCATTTTCTAAGAGGTGACTGTAGTGTGTTGTGTGCTCAAAAAAATAACTAATGCCTGTAGAGTAGAATGAGAAAAATGGGTGCCTACCTGAGTTATTTTTTAAAGCCATTTTGCTATCCATTTCTTTTATCCATCCTTTACTTGCTCACAGAACAGCTGTGTCTGTGACACAGGATTTAATTAGACCACTCCACATCACACATACATTCCCAAATATTGTCTCGTCTAGTAGTACTGTGTACTGCTTTGTCTGTTTGACACGTTTTATCGTTTTGAATTTAATCTGTAAATGATCGTTTTACCAAGGTGCTCATATATTAAAATCACCCTCGTTTAAAGTGGAGATGTGCCAAGAATCCAACTCAGCTTCTCTGGAGACTGTTCAATCAAATACTCAAACTGATTTTGCAAACCCAAAGGAGATGACACATGGAGATGAGTGCAGTCAGTAGAGTATTAGTCTGTTTTATCAAACATTTCAGCTCTTTTCAGTTTTATTTTTCAGGCTAAACAGCGTTTGCAGGAAATCCAGTGATCTGTCTTGTTGGATTTTAGTATGTCCCTTGCTATATGAGATGTTGTGCGTGGTAAGGTTTCGCGTTAAACATGCTACTTACCTTGGCACATAAACCATCTATAACCAGAGACCAGCTTTTACAAGTCAGCTGATGCTATGACAGAAATGACATCACAGGGAGAATTTGACCTCAACCGCCCCAAACCGCTTCACTATTTGATCCATTCATAAAACACATGGCGAGAATAAAATATTTCTACCTATTTTCATTATCAATGAGGAATTTGAAAAGGAAGTCTAAGGAAGTATGTAGATGTAAGAAATTATATAAACTGAAACTATTTTTTATTGTTGATATGTTTTTTCATGCTGCAAAATTAAAGAGCAAGTATTATCCAGATGTTGGGGATTTTGCTCCCTCATCACCGATTTTTACTTTTGCACTTTACATAGTTTCCCCCCCGTTTTATTAATTATAAGAAAGAGCCGTCAGGCAGTGGACATCAATTGGTGACTCTATTAGAATATTTATCATTTAAAGACCAATCTTACAAATTTTGATGTATTATTCAACATGTTTTCAGACTCAAACATTAAAGTTTCTATAGTTTTTCTCAGTGAGCAGCATGTGCTTCATTTTTTTACTTTTACATGGATTAAAAAAAAATAAACATGTAAAAACCACCGAAACAGATATAAATAAAATTTGAGAATGTATTTTAGCTCATTTTTGTCACATCCAGAAATAAGATCTAAAATTGTGACTTGTGAAGAAAGTTCATTTGTAATCCTAAACATCACTGGGGTGCTTTTTACAAACTTTTTGCTTTCCCAAAATGCCCTTTGCCTTTTAGAATGGCTGTTACAAATGTACACACTTCTCCAATTGCATAAATTAGAAGTCAAATTATTGCTAAGCCAATAGCTACTTTGCATAGTGAGGAGCTGACAAAACAATGTTTTGCTACATTAGCAAAGAAGCAAATTGACTTGGAGTTGATTCCTGTAGATACCAGGTCAGCCGAACACATTACAGAAAATATTCTCTGGATTTCAGAATCTTTAGGTAATGGTTTACATTGTCTTGGGAACACACACAGAGACTGGTGTTCATATCTACTAATGCTAAGAGCACTAATCACGCTAACTCCTAACATAACATGCTAAATTCAGCTTTAAAAGGGCATGCCATCTGATTTTGTTTTGGATTAAAAGAGTAAACCCATTTTAAAGCCTGTGCTCTCAATAGGATGTCAACTCTATGACGGAGACAGATAACAGAAAAAATCTAAACAGAAAACGGTCACAAGTCTCTCATCGGTGCATCTCTACTTTAAAGGGACATGGTAAGAAATTAAGCCAACGATCACATATCACAGCTGGTCCTTTTTTTCTTTTTAAGAAAAAACTGAATACTGAATTGTCCCATGAATATTGACCCACAACTGTCAAAAAAATGTATCTGCATTTTGGAAAATGCACAGAGGTATTGTTATAGACAGCGATTTCTGGTCACACCTCCATCACATTTTAAAAATATTTCATCAGGTTTCTCACCTGGGTCGAATTTTGTTTGCCTGAATGAGATGAGAGACGACTCCACACCTCTAGTTCAAATGTGACACCCTGTTCACGTCACCAATCCTCTCAGATAGTTGATACGGTACCAGGCATGTCCTGCCAGTCTCTTCTTTTTTTTATTTTATGATCCCCACCCATCCACGCCTACATGCACACACACAAACATACACCTGACCCCACCCCTCGCTTGAAATGTTTGAACACCTCTCCTCTGCATGTCTTTGTGATCAAGGTTAGCTGGGTGCATGGATACTGAAAAAAAAAAATAAGGAAGAAAAATAAAGCAGCAGACAATTATTTTGAGTCAGTGAATGTGCATTTCATTTAACATTCAGCAATAAAAAGGAATCCTTACCCCCTCTTCATGTCATTCCTGAAATATGCTAGAAAAAAATAAGTTAAAAATGCGAGACTGTCATAGATTGTAAAATAAAGTGAAAAATGAATCCACCTGTTCATATGAAAAATAAATCTTTATTCATATCATCTTATGTTGCATTTATTTCTGAAGAGCATTTTTCTTTCTTTTGGATCTTAGCCCGAAGGCTGTACTGTCTTTTGGCATGTTGTTGCGCCTCTCAGGAGTGCACACATAAAATCTCAAGGTGAAAGGAAATATGTTTAATATGACGGTTGGGGCTTTATAAATTATAGTAAAAGGGTTATAGTCTCAGATGCACAAAAAAAGAGCCAAATACCATAAATTGATCTTTAATAGGTGAAGAATGTGTCTTCGGGCTCTTTAATAAAAAAAATCAGACATAAAATGGCCTTTTAAATAAATATAAGATCCGACAATGGATATTTTTCATCTGCCTCATTAAAGCGATATGTAAAATAAGTAAATAGAAGCTATCTTTAGCATTTTACTCTCTAATTTACCAATGTAAATGTCACTTAAGCCTTTAGCTGTCTTTAGCACTTCATGGATTGGGTTTTTTTGTTATCTATTCTGCATTACTACAAAAGATCCACGAGATGGAGACAAAGCAAACAGCCTCAAGAGTACAACTGGCCTTCTGAGATATTTGGGTATTTGGTCCTTTAGTCTATAAATAAATGATTCTATATCAGGATGCAATAATTAGTATATTCTTTTTAAAGTTCTGGAGTTTTGCTTAGTTATTTTCATTTGATTTCTTGCACATATTGATAAATGTGTTGGCCCTATTTAGGATTACAGTGATGTAATGGCTCAACATAAAACGATATTTTGAAATATAGGGTATGAATGGCACATTTTGCATTTCCAGAACTTAAAATGATAGAAACATGTTTTCTATTGCAATAATTACATGAATGCAGTAATTTTCTCAACATGAATTGAAAAATAAAAAGAAACACACCAGAAAGATATGCTATCATTTCCAAGAGATAAAAAAGAGAATATGATCCCACATACAAAAAAAAAATTTAAATTGACTGTCTCTCGAATAAAAATTACTGAAGGGTAAAAAAGGAGTCCATTGATACTCCTTGAGCTTTTCATCCCTTGAATCTACTAAGTGCTCAATAAATTAATTGGGACTGCATGTGACAGACCAACACAGGATGAATTCTGAAACACTTGTAGTGGTAATTATTCAGGTAATTGCAGCAAAAGGAGTTTCTACTCAGTATGTGATCTGGGTAGTTGTTTTCTTATAATATGTATCATATACCTTTCATTTATCATATTTTCCTCACATAAAATTCCATTTAAATACATTGTATGTAGCTGTAACGTGACAAAACGTGGACATTTGTATGTGTAAAGAGCACTTTGTTTCAAGATTATGATTTTTTTTAATTAAATTGTTTGCCTTAGGAAAACACCTTGCAAACATAAATAGTATTCACACAAAGTGATGGTATACTTTCAGGGTTCATCAGCTGAAAGTTGAGTTAGCAAAGATGATATGAACTTTTGCATTCTTTGGTTTCTTCTGCTTTTCATCATTTGCATAGTTCTTTCAGGTCAGTTAAATACGACTAAATTAAATTTTGACAGCTCCCTCTGAGTTAAAAATAATAAAACTCAGAAGTGGAGTATATGTTCACTTTTATTAAAAAATACAAAGCGGTACATGCAAAGCAAGACAAATTTACAAAAGCACCAATAAACATATAGTCAGCCTTGAATTCATTCAACTCAGAGATTTGGGTTATAGACATGATTGTTGCAAAGAAGTCTTGAATTTCTCAAAGCTACTGTTTCACCAACAAACGTACCGCAGATCTGATTTTCTGATGCCTTCAGATTATTTCACTGACCTTTTCAAAACAACACCTTTTCTCCATTTGTCCAGATAAAACAACACAAAATAAACTGTGGAAATCAAATATGCAGCTAAGAAGAAAACAAATCGTACAAACGCCATTTTTTTACTTATGTGTCTGCACATTCACCAGGTTTATATGCAGGGGTTTCAGGCAGCCTGTTTGAGGAGATCCACTGTAGTGTCCTGCAAGATCATTGTTTCCTTTGTTGAGATCGGACATTTGGAGCTTATTTCAGAACCCCTGAGTTCAGAACAGAAAAGGGAAAACTGTATAAACCATCTTTTCTCTGCATTTCAAAGTGTTTTTGCAAGACTGAGCCATTTCCTGTTTTTAATTTTTAACTTCACATGTTGATTTTACCTGTCCTCCACATCCTGTATTGTGTCAGGGAGATGTGTGCCCAGTGTCTCTGGAAGAAAAACTGCAGCAAACCCTGAGAGAATTGGAGCTCCTCCGTAGATTAAACCTGGCAGCCAAGGTATATAGTCCCCAGTGAGCTGAACCATTGGAGCCACCATAGCTCCCACACGAGCCATCATGGACACCCAACCCATGCCACTTTGACTGAATGTGAAAAAGACACAATAAAAGCAGAATCAGTGGTCTAGTTGCTGTGCAGTTAAAAATGTAATTATATTACAGCCTTTAATTGGCATTTTATCTAATCAAAGCCTGTCAGAGGACATTCTTAAAGGCAAATAGTAGGTATTTAAATATTGAATCAATTTTGTATTTTTGCAGTGTTCACACAGTTCCACTATAAAAATTTGACAGAGAGGACAATTTAAAAAATGTGACAAAATCAGAAGGGAGAACGAGTTGATTCAGAGCTAATTTTGGAGCGATGGCTCTATGAATGTCACAGTTGAAAAGAAACCCTCCAAAAAAACGTGTTAAATCAACCTGCTAAATCCCGTTAGCAGGTTGCTTCAAGTCAGAAGCGAGGTGTAGGAGAAGATGAGATGATGAGAGTGAAAGTAGACTACATTCAAAATGTTATGTGGAGGAAAGTTAACACTATAAATGCCCGTTAACACGCCATCTCCTGCTGAATTGAATTAAATATAAGGGAATACTGAGAAGAAAACTAAGGCTTAAACAAACTGGGGACAGAGGTTCACCTTGTGGCAGGACAACGCTAAGCAAACAGTCACAGCTGCAATCAAAAGATTTGGATCAATGAATGATCTGAATACAAATGCCCACAACAGGTCTTTGAAAAAAAAAATCAAACCACACATATTTTTCCTCTTTGCAATCATGAGTCAGACTCAAGTGCTTCAAGAAACCTGGATTTGCTTTAGTTTCTTTTAAATATGAATGGAAATCTTTTGTGAAAAAAAAAGATTTTGTAATAAATGAGTGAATAAAAAGCCATGTGATGTTACAAACTTTATATTCCAGACAAAACAAATACTCTGTAAATCTCATTTGACACATTGGCAGTCCACAACAAACTCATACAAGAGAATATATTAGCCTGCAGTCATTGGCACTCATCACCAACATCTGTTTGCGGAACCTGTTTGAACGTCAAAAGTATTTATCCTGGCCAAAGGTCACCTGGAGATTTCCCAAGGTCAACCTGAAACTCTTAGATCATTCTTCTTTTTTTGTCAAAACCTTTACAAACTCCTTGAATGCTGTTTTTTAGGGCTTTTTTTTGGCACAGATTCTTGAGGGTAAATTTAGCTGTTAAATGTCTGTAAATGTTTCTCAGGTAATGTTTAAAAACCACTCAGCTTCATGGTTGTTGTAAATTGTGTTTTTGTTTTCCTTGATTGTTTGCTTGTTCGGAACATCTCATTGAGATTAACAAAAATAGTTTTATGAATGTGTTTGCAAAACATTTTTACCAGATGAGATGTTATTAAATTGACAAAAACCTATTTTCTTATGTAAGAAGATTTTTCAGTTTACAGTCTTACCAATAATACTTATGAATCAATGCAGTGATGCATTCATACTGTTTAATAGCAGGCCCAATTGTTTGTGTTCTACTAGAAGATATGTGATTGGCCAACACAAAGTAGTAGTAAAATGGATCCCAGGTATTTGCCAGGGATCCAGTTATTCAGACAATCACTTCTGAATAACTGGAATCTGCCAACACTTGACACCCACGCTGAAAATGCTGCAACCTATCTATTTAATTAGTACTATCACCAAATAACTCTTACTATGCTTTAACAGGTTCTGTGGATACTGTTTCTGTGGATACTGTTTTGGCCCGAGCACAGAAGCTAACATCCACAGTCTTTCTTATTTTCTCTTTTGGGGGTACAAGGAACATAAATGTTACTCCTGGACTGGCTGCTGTTGAAAGTGGCAGTTCTTAGAAAATACATCTGTGAATATGTACATTTTCCATAATTAATTTGGGGTTACATCCACGGTTCTAACCATGAACAGGCAGGTGTCCACTGTAGCATAAGTAGAAGAAAAAGATCTGAAATTGTTTTCCAAATTTATTCTTATGAAAACAAATAAGTCTGGCTTGCATTTGAATTTATCCGTTTGCACTTGTTAGATGCCTTTCATCCAATCTTACTGAGCTTGAGCTGCTTTGCAAGAAAGAATCACTAATAGTTTCAGTCTGTAGTTGTGCACAGCTGATAGAGACAAACCCCAAAATAGTTGCAGCTGTAAATACCACAAAATGTGGCACTGCAAAGATTTGTAGAGCCACAATGCTTCTTTGGATTCACGACGCTCCTTTAATACCATGCACCACTTTCCTTCCTCTTTCATTCTGTTTTCTGACACATAAAATCTGAGTAAAATACATTGAAACTTGTTGTATCTGAAAGATTTGAGGCGTACGGATACTTGTGGTCAAATGTGAGAAAATGGTCACTTATTTAACTCAATCCTTCACTGTTTAGTCCAAGTTTGGATTGAATTGAACACTGTGTGACACTGTTAATCTGCAAACCTCCACCCTTTGACCTGTGTCACTGAATACCTATGCCCGTAAATAAACAGAGAAGCAAACAGAATTCAGTATATTTTCACTACTACATCACAAACCTTATCAACTTTAAGCTTAATTTGTTTTTGCACTTTCATCACTTTCTTTCTTCTGAAATTAAGTATATAAACATCTAGGGATTTTTTAAATTATTTTATTATTTTAATCATGCTTAAAATTTGATGGGTATTTTTTGTCAAGACGTTTGTGAACTGAACAAAGTGACAAGTTCTATTTTTGTCAAAAACACCTG